ACACTTAGAAATAATGATATAAGTGTTATTTGATGCGTTCTTTTTTAAAGGGAGAACGAACAAGAGAAATGAAATGAAGTCGGGAAGAATGGAACTCTTAGGAGACAGGAGACAGGAACTAGAGTCGGGGAAACAGTCAGGCCGAAAGACACTTTAAATTCACCAAAATACTCGGAGAATCAAGTCACACTTAGAAATAAGGATAAAAGTGTTATTTGATGCGTTTTTTTTTAAGGGAGAACGAACAAGAGAAATGAAATGAGGTCGGGAAGAATGGAAGGTTCGATAACCTGTTAGGAAAGGCCTTTTGTGCCATAACAACCCTGTTAAAATATTTCACATCCATTGATCCCCCAAAAAGCAAAAACGGAGAAAAGTGATACAAACAATAATAAAAGACAGAAATAAGTCCAAACGATACACAAATAACCCAAGGAAAGACTGACAGCGTAGCCCCGTAACAGTAGAACTAGTCAGCAGAATGGAAAATGTCAACACTGGCGCCCTTTCTAATAATATACAAACAGGAAACATGCAAAAAGGTCGACCCCGAAGGCTGCGCAGCGCCTCTCGCTCGCCGGGATGAGCGCGGCAGCTTTTGCAAATAGTTTCTGGAAGTCGTTGAGTCAGTGACGCCGGTGCTGAGATCTTGTTGTGTGTGTGTACTCGTGTGTGTGTGTGTTTTGTTGTGTTTGTTGATCCGTGTGTGTTTGTGTTTGTGTGTGTGTGTGTGTGTGTGTGTTGTGTGTTGTGTGTGTGTGTGTGTGTGTTGTGTGTGTGTGTGTGTGTGTGTGTGTGTGTGTGTGTGTGTGTGTGTGTGTGTGTGTGTTTGTGTGTATGTGTATATGTTTGTGTCTGTGTGTGTGTGTGCGTGTGCGTGTACGTGTGCGTGTCTATTGTCGCCCTAACACTTACGCCTTGAGTATATTTGACTCAGTTAATGAACTTTGCTCTGGTTCTATCCGACATGTGCACCCTTTGTATGCATATGTGCGTGTATATGCCTATATGAGTTTGCATGTAATTTTGCATGTGCGCGAGACTGTGTATATTTGCACGGGTTTCCTTGCAATTTCTTGTTTATGTGTGCGTGTATCTATATGTAATGCATTAGTTATATGAATGCGTTTGTGTTTGTATGGATTTATGATGCAAGTATAAAATTAAATGCTGTTACAATAGGAATGGAATATGTACTGTTCGCACTATTTTATGTTTTTGTTTATGTATGCAATTTTTTTTGTCTTATATCCATGTTCTACATCATGTATGGACAGGATACATCCGGGATTGTTTATCTGTGTGACTAATAAAAACGGAAGCTAAGAAGAAAATGAAAAGAAAACTGAAAATAAAAATAAAAAAGGGAAAATACAGATAGATTTATATCTATATCTACGTATATATATATATATATATATATATATATATATATATATATATATATATATATATATATATGTGTATGTGTGTGTGTGTGTGTGTGTGTGTGTGTGTGTGTGTGTGTGTGTGTGTGTGTGTATGTATATATAATATATATATATATATATATATATATATATATATATATATATATATATATATATATATATATATATATATATAATATATATATATATATTATATATATATATATATATATATATATATATATATATATATATATACATATATATATATATATATATATATATATATATATATATAATATATATATATATATATATATATATAATATATATATATATATATATATATATATATATATATATATATATATATATATATATATATATATATATATTTATATACATACCTGCATACATACTTGTGTGTATGTATGTGTATGAGTATATGCGTGCGTGCGTGCGTGCGTGTTCGTGTGTGTATGTGTGTGTATGTGTGCGTGTATGTATGTGTGTGTGTACACGCGTGTATACATATATGTACACACGTGTGCTCAATATGGAAAATAAAGTAAATCAACAATTCTGTTTGTGTTTTCCACGGGCGCGGCGACACGCTGGGGCGAAGGCTGATTAGATTGCGCGAGGGAAAGCCAAACCCTTTACGTTCCTCTTACACTCGGAAAAAGCTGTTTAGCTGTTGACACCGAGGAGGAGAATCTTCGTCCTTTGAGTCGACCGAAACTAGGTTTGGTCAGGTCATCAGGAGGCAAGTTAGTTAGTTTTAGGCCGCGGGGGAGAAAAGGTAGTTAGAAGCACACGCACGTATGTATAAGATCAGACGTCTGGCAGGAGGTTGAAGGAAGGAGTGGAGACAGGGACAAAAAAAAAAAAAAAAAAAAAAAAAAAAAAAAAAAAAAAAAAAAAAAAAAAAATAAATAAAGTAGATTAAAAAGATAAGCAGACAAGAAAAGATAACAAAAAGACTGTCAGCCATTAATTCTTATAAGAGCACCCTCCTTAAATAGATAAATAAATAAGTAAATAGACAAGAAAAGGGTAACAAAAGCAGTGTCAGCTATTAATTGTTATCA